ATACTCCTATGATTAGTTAATTAATTTACTTTACGTCCTTTACTTTTAAATGTTTCATTTTAAACCTTTATCGAATTAATATTCATAATCGTATATCAATTAAAACATGTTTAAAAAATATATTTTTATTTTAACAAGTTACATCATTATAATCGTCTCTTTAATATCTTCAAAATGAGTCCAATATTGAATAGTTTTGACTTAATTATATTATTATATATTATATATACTGTGAAAAAATATTTTTAATATTTACGATTTATACTTTTATAGTTATTTATTTATATATTTACTATATATTTTGGGGTTAGGCTGTCCAAATTGCAATGTATAATATGTTTTGAATTAATATATTCTTGTGTTTTTTGAAATATATATATATATATATATATATATATATATATATATACATGTATTAATTCATAGGGGTGAGGATAGGCGGATACCCGCCCTTTTTGACAGGAACCGGAACCGGCGGTTCTTGGGATATTGGAACCGGAACCGGAACCGGTTAGAGCGGTTCTTGAATTTTTGGAACCGGAACCGGAACCGCCGGGAACCGGTTCCGGGTACTCGCTTTCTAAAATATTAAAATTTTGTTATTTAGAAATAAAAATAAAATATTGTCAAAACACTAAATTAAATAAACAAGAATACAAATTATACGGAATAATGGTTACAAATATTGTTTTAACGATTACAAACCATAATAGACTAATAGAAAATGTTCAAAGTTTAACGATTATATACTATAATTGTAAATGTTCAAAACTTAACGATTACATACTACGAACTGTAGTTTAGTAGAAAGTAAATGAAGAATGAAGATGACCGCGTCATTTGAAGATGTAACTTAATATAAATTTGGTATTGAAAAAAATCAATTATTTTTTTATTGAAAAACAACCGCCGGTTCCGGATACCCGGCGGGTAACAGTTCCGAAAAACTGAGAACCGGAACCGGAACCGTTCTCAATCGGTTCCGTATTTTAGGAACCGGAACCGGAACCACTCATATCGGTTCCGGTTCCGGAACCAGCGGTTCCAAGGCGGTTTCGGTTTCGCAAACGGGTACCCGATTCCGCTGCTCACCGCTATTAATTCAACTTTAATCTGAGTTTCTGGACAAGAAAGAAGGTAAACAGTTGAAATTTCATTCTAAAACTTATTTTTTTGGTCTTTTCATGGCTTATGATCTGTTAAATTTGTAGTTTTCTTTATTGATTTTGAGTGTTTATCTTAAAACTCAAGTTTCCTTGTTACCATACCGTCTTTAACGAGGGCCTTCCTCACTCCCCAACTGGATAAACTCTGAGATTTCTCACTATTCGTATGAAAATGGGGAAACAGTCTTTGCTCTTGGTGTAAATCGAACACATTTGTGTAGTCGTTTAAATATATTGGATTTTAAACTATCATACAATTTTTTTTATCGATTGTCTGTAATTGGAACCATAACTTTTATTTATTCAAATTGTATTAATATGTAAAGACCAAATGTAACATATATCATCATTAAATCTTATCTTATAAAACCAGTGAAACTTCAAAATCGTTAAAATTCATGGCTCCCACCGCATTGCACGAGTACACAACTAGTTTCAAATAAATCACATGGTTTTCAATCTTTTATACGGTGGGTATTGATCATGACAATTTCAAACGTCAAATGAAACGATTCATGGGGCATTGGGGAGTGCTAATGGCACCTCTTTCATAAGGGTGTGAATGCATTGAACTTGAAAAATCATTAAAAAAATATAAAATGTCAAAATCAATCTATTAATATAATATATTTTTTTATTATTATTATTATTATTATTATTATTATTTTATTAATGTACACATCCTATATATATATATATATATAATTAAAAGATTGTGAAAAAAATAAAATAAAAGAGTTAATATCGTGCAACTCATTGAGTCATAATTATTACAAAAAAAAATAATTCTTACATATATTTTGTTAATAAATAAATCATCGAACCTTTAAAAATTAGTTACTTGAATCATTTTAACCGAAAAATGCTATATATCATGGTAATATATTAGTTTTAAGGACCTTAATCACTAATTTATGTTAACCATACAATGTTGATGAAATTTTAAACTATTTTGACTAATTGCAATATTAGACCCAAAACGATGCTAAAAATATAATGGTTTGAAAAATAAATGAGATAATTATAAAAGCCTTGAAAATGTAATTATTTTTACAAAAAGTAGTATTTCAAAAATTTTGGGTTATTTTAATATTTTTAAAATGATATAATCAAAATATTGTGAATAAAATAAAATAAAATAATTAATATCGTGCAACTCAGAGAGTCATAGTTATTTACAAAAAAAATTAGTCCTTACATATATTTTTTAATTAATAAATTATCGAACTTTTAAAAATTGATTACTTGAATTATTTCAACCCAAAAAAAATGTTACATATTACAGTTTGCTTACCTCACATATCAAATAAGTGGGAAAACGATTTTTAAGTTACAGTTTACCTGCTTTTAATCTAACCAGATAGTTGTTGAATAGATTTTTTTATAATACGTAATTTAATATGTAGTTTGATAATATATAAAAAATTAGTTTTTATTAAATAACTAATTTTTTAAAGATTGTTATTAAATATATTTAAACTATATTATAAAGCATTTGGCTAAAATTCTTAAAAACTCTTAAACTCTTAAAACTCTTAAACTCTTAAAAACTCTTAAACCCGTTCATCCCTATCCGATTTCATCTCATATCTGAATTCATGTAACTAACTGCAGATAAACACAATCAAATACATGATAAACATCTCATTTTAAATATAAAAAATCTAAAATATAATTAGGATAATCA